AGTAAAGTAAAAATATCAGAAAAATCTACTTGAGTACAGTAACGAAGTATTTGTACTTTGTTACTTCCCATCTCTGCCAAGAACCAAGTCCAACATCTATAATAGATAGATAGAATCTATAATCTTTTGTTTTTTATCATGAGATGATTTACATTCTGGTTGCGTACAAAGAAGTCTTGGTTTGCTGTTTGAGTTTAATTAAAGCTTTCAAATCCTTGCATTAGCATCACATCATGTAACATTAAATACTGTGTACAAGTGTACAAAATAAAAGTCTTCTGCTTTGCTCTATCTTTCATTGTCTGAGAGAAAAGTAAGGATAGGAGGAGCAAGCGTGTCCTTTGCTCTCTGTTTGGGACCTAATGGACAGTGGGGTTTACACGTACTCCCTTGCTGTGGAAGGCTGTGATTGGTGGTAATATGGCTGCCCTCGCATGTTGTCTCTGGAGCAGGAGCAGCACAGTAACGAGCCGCCGAGGACGGTCAGACTGGCGGCAGCCCAGCCCACGAACAAAGCTGAGCCAAACTCATACCTGGACAGAAAGAGTAGAAGAAGACAGAAGCATTTACAGTCAGTCGGAACAGTTGGTCGGATTTCTACAGTTTTGCTGACGTCGATAGTCGGAGCTCTACTCTACATTAGACATGCTGGGATATTATTCATACAAAGGAATGTTTAATTTTCCTGTTGCTGTTTCTTTATCACTGCATGTTAAGTCATGATAATCGGATGATCTGTGAATAAGGTCAGGAGGTCTATACACTGCAAAACATCTTCATCTTTTTTCTTAAAATAAGTGCATTTGTTCTTGAAATGTGGAGGAAAATGAGACCCTTTGCCATTGGAACAAGAAAATTTACAATATAAGATAAGAAAACACAATTGCATTGTTTTATTTCAAGTGTATTTTATCTAATTATCTTATTTTGTCACAGTCTTGGTTTTCCATTTGTTGTCCTATGCTGCCCTCTTGTGTCCTCTTTCCCTTGCTCTGTTTTCTGTTCTGCCCTCACCTGTTTCCAATCCTCCCGTTAGCCCTCTCTTTGTCTCTGTCCCCTTTAAAAGCCTCCCTCTTCAGTTCCTGTTTGCTGGATCCTCGTCTAACGTCTGTCTGCTTACCTCGTCTCTCCCTGGCTCCTAGAGTTTTGGTTTACCCCTGATGTCTCCTTGGTTCTGGTGCGTTTGTTATTTTCTGTTGGATTTTGATTCCCGCCTCAGTTCCTGTAAACCTCATTAAACCCACCTAAATTCACCTCTGCCTACTTGCCTCTGCATTTGGGTCCTCAAACCAACACCCCATCCTGACATATTTTAAGAGTAAAAATACTCATTCCATTGGCAGTTTGTTTTATGCAGGGATTAAAGTCCCCTTTCTTCCTGTAAGCAGCTTAGCAAGACTTTGAGTTTGCTCTTCATGCATTTCAGCTCTGAAGTTTCCAGCTGTGAAACCCTTTTTGATTAAGAGAGGAGGTCCTTCACATTGCTGACAGTCCAGGCCTTATTTGCTGTGCAATGGGAGTCTGGAAAATTCTGACATAATTAGATGAAGGAAGGTTATACAAAAATATATAGAATTGTCCTTAGAGAAGTAGTGACTGCTTCTGCTATAGAAAGTCTACCTGGCTGGAAAATGACATAAAAGTCTGATAAAATATGAGATGATGGTTCAGACTGCGGAAACTTTGAAAACTGTGACATTGGTGGTTTATTTTTAATTTTTTTACAGTGTCCTGTCTGGCAATGTGGCAATAAGAATAATAAAAGAGCCCAACAGATTTTACTTTCACAAGTGTAGCAGAACGGCAATTGCTATATTGCTCCACTTGTTTCATGTATATAAATTGCTTTATGGACACTGCAATGTAAGTAGAGCAGAAAAACAGAAGAAGAAAGGAAAAAAAACAAACAAAAAAACATTGGTGGTTTATAAAACCGGCAAAAACATATCCTATAAAAACATGTACATTTCTGTTAAAATTACAGTTTCACTAATAAAAATAATCAAGTTATAATAAGTTGGTCTTTGGTCTTTTTTTTATTTTTTTTTTATTTTATGCCTATAAGATCAATTATCCTGGGATAGAAAATAATCAGTTAAAGCTGAATAAAAAATTTAATTAAATAATATCTTTAACACGTTAAAGTGTATTTTAAAGTAAGAACTAAAACATTGAGTTTTCTTCAACATTAAAGGTATAGTGGAGGATTTTTGTGAATTTTTCAAAAGACCTACCTCCTCCATTTTTAATTAATAAAAATGCACATCCACAACCCTGTACGTGTGCAAGGGCGAGCCCATTTCTCCTCGAGCACGCTCTGTTTAAAAGACCCTAACTGCATCACTCATACAAGCTTTATTTCCAAAAATAGGATTTGCAATTTTTCCACAATGTCACACTCACTAGCGGTGAAAACGAGGACGAGCATTTAAGATACTATAATGATTGACAGTTAGGAGGACCACTGATTTAGATGATCCACCTGGAAATAAACGAATCTCCTCTATACGTTTTACTGATATTTTGTGGTTGCTCACCATCAGATATTTTTTTAAGCAATAAATTCAGGCAACTTCATGGTCAACTACTTCCATACAGTGGTGAGTGGCGGCTTAGTGGTTAGGGCATAGGGCTTGGAATCCTGAAGTTGTGAGTTCAATCCTCCACTCCCACAGACTGCCACTCTGGGTCCCTGAGCGAGACCCTTAACCCCACACTGCTCCCCAGGCACCGCACAATGGCAGCCCGCTGCTCCCCAAGGGGACGGGTTAAGGTTATTTTGGTTTTTCTGTACTGGTGACATTGGAATGACAACAAAACCCTGGAACAAAAATGTAAAACTCGGCCAGGAACACATGGACCCGTAAATAATAAAGATCATTGCTCACAACCAGATCGCACTACACTCAAAGATTAACAGCTAAGATTTAGCCACAGTAAGAATGTTTTCACTGCTGCTTAAAAAATACTGTTATCTGGATATTCTTGAATGAATTTATTTATTGACATGTAGAGTTTATAAGTAACAAAATTTGAATATGAATTTTGTTCATATTTGGCTGCCACTCCCATGGGGCTTAAACTGCTCTGTGTCTGAAAGTTTGACACCTCCATGACCAAGGCTAATTCTACATTCGGTGGGTTTCAACAACAATAAGAATTCCCAAACGGTGCAATTTAAATTAGAAGGTTCAAACTCTGGTGGTAAATCTTTGGATAGTCGTAATTATTAGATTTCAGAGGTCCAACTAACTTCTGACGGGCTCAGACTTGTTTTATGTCAATCACACAATGATTTGTTCTTTTTTATAAATCACTAATGAAGTGCACTGCAATGCAAGAGACGTCACACATAAAAACCAAACAAGTCACAGAAAAAGTTGCTGACAAGTTCATAAAAAATGAGGAAAAAAGAAAAAAAAGGAACAAAACAGTAAAATCCAACAAGTCCTAAATTGACAGCTGATGGTACCACAACAAATCTGCCCTAACCCAAAAGAACTGAGAAGCCTTATCAA